ATTCTCTTACTAACATAATTCCATTTTTCTTTTCAAATAAGTAAAAGGTCTCATAGAATAGTATATTGAAATATACTTGTTACTAAATTGGAGGACAAAATCAAAACAATAATTTCTTATTAAAAATATATTGTATAATTTTTCAAAACTAAGTAAAACGGAAGCAATTTAAAGCAAAAGCGACAGAGTAAAAATTTAAAAAAAAAATTATACTCTTTCTAATTTTTATTATATTTCTCTTTTTAAAAAGTTATATATCAAATTATAAATAGTTTTATAATATTAATAAATTATTAATGTTATTTTATTTATATCATTACCTCTTAATTTTATTCTTTTAAATTATTTTTTCACATTATTAATAAGAGGCCATTTTATAAAATTTAACTTAATTTATCTTTTTCATATAACAATAACTATATCTTGTATTTTTTATAAAAGGGACAAGAATTTATAATACACAACAGAGATAATAGTATAAGTTATAATCTCATAAAATACTCTCATAGACAATGGTACCAAAATTATATATTGAATATTAAGTATCGTAGATATTAAAGTATATAAATCAACTTCACTTGTTATAATGTATGAAGGATATCATTAAACCAAATTCATATGAATTGTGTTGAGTGTGATATCTTATCATTTATTTTTTATCGTACCAGAAACAAAAACATTGATTTTGTATGATAGTGAAGTTAAGCCATATTATCTCATCTAAGATGATAAATTCATTTTCCATGAGCCCATCTTGCATGGGATTATAACTACTATATTATGAGATTTTGTTGTTATTTTGTAATTAAAAAATAAAAATGAGTTTTCTTAAATTAATCTTTTGATGATAGCTCATATTTTGTATTTTGTCGGATATATAGAGCAGAACCACCATGCCAATTAAAGTTGATGCATATTTTTAGAATATTCTAATCAAAATCAATGACAATATATTATTTAATTTTTTATTTTATTATTTACTAATTTTATTGATAATGTTTCTTTTTCTCTCAAATATTGTTTGAGTCACTGATAATAAATGAGATTAAGGAATGATGCAATCTATAACGAGTGATTTCTATTACACTCTTTATCCATAAATTAGTTTTGGGGCTTTAACAAAGTGCATCCAACGTTCTGATATCATCTTCATGAAAATTTTATCCATAGTTTAACAATTATTTTCCCACTTATATATTTTTCAAAATATTCTAAATATACTCTTTTATTTATTTATTTTAAATCAAAAAAGTTTGTATCTTTACACTAGTATATCGGAGAACATAACTTAAAGAAGTTTGGTTGTACCGGAGAACATAACTTAAAGAATTTTGGTACGTAATTTCTCTTCATTAGATAATTTACAATTAAAAATTGGTGGCATTCGTTTGAAGTATTTAGTTGGTGTGAAACACTATTTTTTTCAAAGATAATGTCCTTAATTTCGATGAATGTTTGACGGCAGCGATCAAATATTGGTCTTGAAATTGAATGGATATAGCTTGTAAATTCTATGTTTCTTATACTTATTATGATTGAAACGTTTTACTCCTTCTATGTTTTAAGAAAATTGGATAACTTATGTTGTTCGTAATAGATTGAAATATCTCTTATATTCTATTTTATTGAATCATTGTTTATTAAAAAAAATTGCAATAAATTTTAGCTATTATAATTTTTTTACTAAATTTTTATTTACCAAATAATTTATTATAAGTTTTTTAATATTATACATTTTTATCAACTTTTTGTCCACCGAGTAACTTGCAATAAATAATGAAAGCAAGAGCAGGAAAATATTTCAAAATTGGTTTCTTAATATAATTTTTTTCTATAGTAATTCATTGTTAAAAAATTGAATGTTAGTTAGGAAAGCATGAAAGTAATTTATTAATGTTAGTTGTAGTTGTATCAAATAAAATGTTTAATATTATAGTTGTTGAAATTTAGTATTTAACAATCTATTGATTTTATTTATTTGTTGTTGTGGTTGTTGTTGTTGAGATTTAATGTTTAACGATTTCATGGATTTGGTGTCGTTTTTGTTGTTGAGATTTATTTTTAAGTATTCTATTGATTTTGTTTTTGTTGTTGATATTGGTGTTGTTGTTGATGATGGTGAGCAAGATTTAGATTTTGTTAATAAACTTGATGTTTTGCAGATTAAAACGGAGAAAAATTAGTTAAAACTAAAATTTTGTATACAAGACTTTACCTTTCAGTTATTATGAAAAATCGAAGTAAAAATTAGTACGATTTTGAAAAATAAAAAAAAAATGCAGTTGTTAGAGATCAAACACGTGATCAGTGTCACTTTTCACCTTAATTTTCAAAAATTGAGAGATAAATAACAAGTTTTCATATCGTCATTCGTTATATCGTGCGGTCAAGATTATATCATTTTCACGTCCGAAATAAAATGAAATGATTTATAGTAATGCTATAATATATTCGTAGTTTTATATATTAAGATATAATATATTATTTTGAAAATCAATAAATGAAATTAAAGGTATCTTTTATTATTATATTTAATTTCTTTATATTTCTACCTATTTAGGTTGGCTTTCTACTATGGTTGCAGTTATCCATATTACAAATATGTAACATTGAAGATACATATGGAAGATCAAATATGTACACGTGTTTATCAAATATGGGATTTCTTCTAAAGTGGTTATTTATTTTATTATATGAGATTCAAACACCTAATTGCTACAAATTATATATGGAAAAAAAATGGACATGCTTATCATAAAATCCCAAATTATTAGAAATTTGTTAATAACATGCCAAGATATAAAACAATTTCAGGAAAAATTCCATAAAAGGATTGATTAATTTCGACTTAAGCACTGCTTTTACTAGTTATTTCAACGAAATCATATTTGAAATGTATATAAATGGATTTACTAGAATTTTAAAATATCGAAGTTAACGTTTACAGCTGTTTTAAAGAATATATAAGATGCTCCACTTATTGGAGATGGTTCAGGTAAATTTAACTTCAAAAATGGTATAGTCCTACACTTCTAATAAAATGTTATACAATTCTTAACCGATTAAAAAAATTCTAAAATTCTCTTACTAACATAATTCCATTTTTCTTTTCAAATAAGTAAAAGGTCTCATAGAATAGTATATTGAAATATACTTGTTACTAAATTGGAGGACATAATCAAAACAATAATTTCTTATTAAAAATATATTGTATAATTTTTCAAAACTAAGTAAAACGGAAGCAATTTAAAGCAAAAGCGACAGAGTAAAAATTTAAAAAAAAAATTATACTCTTTCTAATTTTTATTATATTTCTCTTTTTAAAAAGTTATATATCAAATTATAAATAGTTTTATAATATTAATAAATTATTAATGTTATTTTATTTATATCATTACCTCTTAATTTTATTCTTTTAAATTATTTTTTCACATTATTAATAAGAGGCCATTTTATAAAATTTAACTTAATTTATCTTTTTCATATAACAATAACTATATCTTGTATTTTTTATTAAAGGGACAACAATTTATAATACACAACAGAGATAATAGTATAAGTTATAATCTCATAAAATACTCTCATAGACAATGGTACCAAAATTATATATTGAATATTAAGTATCGTAGATATTAAAGTATATAAATCAACTTCACTTGTTATAATGTATGAAGGATATCATTAAACCAAATTCATATGAATTGTATTGAGTGTGATATCTTATCATTTATTTTTTATCGTACCAGAAACAAAAACATTGATTTTGTATGATAGTGAAGTTAAGCCATATTATCTCATCTAAGATGATAAATTCATTTTCCATGAGCCCATCTTGCATGGGATTATAACTACTATATTATGAGATTTTGTTGTTATTTTGTAATTAAAAAATAAAAATGAGTTTTCTTAAATTAATCTTTTGATGATAGCTCATATTTTGTATTTTGTCGGATATATAGAGCAGAACCACCATGCCAATTAAAGTTGATGCATATTTTTAGAATATTCTAATCAAAATCAATGACAATATATTATTTAATTTTTTATTTTATTATTTATTAATTTTATTGATAATGTTTCTTTTTCTCTCAAATATTGTTTGAGTCGCTGATAATAAATGAGATTAAGGAATGATGCAATCTATAACGAGTGATTTCTATTACACTCTTTATCCATAAATTAGTTTTGGGGCTTTAACAAAGTGCATCCAACCTTCTGATATCATCTTCAGGAAAATTTTACCCATACTTTAACAATTATTTTCCCACTTATATATTTTTCAAAATATTCTAAATATACTCTTTTATTTATTTATTTTAAATCAAAAAAGTTTGTATCTTTACACTAGTATATCGGAGAACATAACTTAAAGAAGTTTGGTTGTACCGGAGAACATAACTTAAAGAATTTTGGTACGTAATTTCTCTTCATTAGATAATTTACAATTAAAAATTGGTGGCATTCGTTTGAAGTATTTAGTTGGTGTGAAACACTATTTTTTTCAAAGATAATGTCCTTAATTTCGATGAATGTTTGACGGCAGCGATCAAATATTGGTCTTGAAATTGAATGGATATAGCTTGTAAATTCTATGTTTCTTATACTTATTATGATTGAAACGTTTTACTCCTTCTATGTTTTAAGAAAATTGGATAACTTATGTTGTTCGTACACTACGCCAAAAATGATTTTTTGTATCACCTAATTTAATAGCACTTTTAAAAAAAATGCTATTAAAATGGAAAAAACACATTTATAATAGCACTTTTTAATCGGGCGCTATTATATAATACAGACTATGTAATTATGATAGCACTTTGTACCAGAACGCTATTATTAAACTTCTTTAAGATAGCATTTTGTATAAAACGCTATTATTTGACTATCCTCGACATTTCATCCATTTACATTCACTATCCTTCATTCTTGTTCTTCTCATTCCAAATTTCTATATTATTTCTGAATTTTAATTGCTGTGACTGTGATTTTTCAACACAGCAATGCCCACCGCCAAATTATTCATCTCTCTCCTCTGTTTCTCTCTCCTCACTCTCTCTGTCACCGCCCGCCCCTACGTCCTCGTCCTCTCCCAAGAAGACTTCAAAGACGAACCCCCTTCCGATCCCGATTCCTCCCCCGAGTGGGACGAGTTCGGCGACTCCGACTCTTACAAATCCGAAGAGGATCTCGACCCTGGATCATGGCGCCAAATCTTCGAACCAACCTCCACCCAACCGCAACCTCAACCTCAATCCGATACGGAGGCTCTCTACTACTCCGTCGTGACCAAGCTTATGACAGGAGACGCGAGGCTAATCGAAGAAGGCTCTGGTGAGATTGAGACGGCTGCAGAGTCTGGTTACCCGACGGCACAATCAGTGTTAGGGTTTTTGTGGGGAATGGGGCTTTTGAGAGAGAGGAGTAAACAGAAAGCATTTGTTTATCATCATTTTGCTTCAGATGGTGGCAATATGCAATCCAAAATGGCTCTTGCTTATACCTACACTCGTCAAGATGTGAGTTCACTTGTTTTTCCTAATATATAAACTTCTATATTCTATTCTATTATAATGTTAGGGTTTTTGATTATGTTGGAATGGTTGTAGATGTTTGATAAATCGGTTAAGCTTTATGCTGAATTAGCAGAAGTGGCTGTCAATGGTTTTCTCATTTCCAAAGATTCTCCCGTTATTGAACCTATTAGGCTACACAATGGAGCTGAAGATAACAAAGAGGCACTTAGAAAATCTAAAGGGGAAGAGGATGAGGATTTTCAGATTCTCGAGTATCAGGCACAGAAAGGGAATGCTGCTGCTATGTACAAAGTGGGACTCTTTTACTACTTTGGGCTACGTGGATTGAGGCGTGACCATTCTAAGGCACTTTCGTGGTTCTTGAAGGCAGTGGAGAAGGGAGAGCCTCGCTCCATGGAGCTTCTCGGAGAGATATATGCCAGGGGATCCGGTGTTGAGAGGAACTATACAAAAGCCTTTGAATGGCTTACTCTAGCATCTAAGCATCACCTCTACTCTGCTTATAATGGGATTGGTTATTTGTATGTCAAAGGCTATGGAGTCGACAGCAAAAATTACACTAAAGTATGATCATCTTTGCCTTTTTTGTGTTTGTATGGACTTCAAATTTTTGGGGAATGGAATGGGGACACACTTTATCGGTGGTATTGTGTGTCTATGTATGTCTATGCTTAATTTATGATATCTTTTTCTGAATTACAGGCAAAAGAGTATTTTGAAAAGGCTGCTGAAAATGACGAGGTTGGTGGCCATTATAACCTAGGTGTCATGTTTCTCAGGGGGATTGGAGTGAAAAGAGATGTGCGGTTGGCATGTAAATATTTTATAGTGGCTGCCAACAATGGTCAACCAAAGGCTTTCTACCAACTTGCAAAGATTTTTCATCTTGGTGTTGGCATGTTTTACTAGGCACAATAAGGGTAAATTATCTAATGTCACTGTAGTCATGTTATATAGTTTGAGATGACTGGACTGACCTAAATATTCATTCTTAGCTCCAACTGTTGTTTTGGTCAATCAGGCATGTTCTATGTTCTTTTCGTAACTCTTTCATTTATAAACTGTTGTTTGTGTATTCATTCATCCATCTATCTATCTACATTGCAGCAATACATGAATATTAAACATAACACAGATCTTCAAGTTGAGGAGTATCCCGGGGCTAAAGGAGTTGATACATGGAATTTCGAGAGCTGGCAGAAGGAAGTTAAGGACAATGATGTATGTTTGTTTGTTAACATGCTTTTATCTTTGTTAGAAAATTACTACTGCTTTCTTTGTTTATCGGTGATTTTATTTTCATTGATTTGCAGTGTTGACTGGTTTCTGAGCTTATGCTGAATTAATTATAGAATTGTATTGGTTAATTACGCACTTATCATATAAGTGTTTGTGTCCAAGCTATTTCTAGAACAAAAAATAAAATGAACTGTTCAAAATAAGCTATATGTTGTTTTCATAAGCTATATTGGAGAGCTTATGTAAATAAGCTAAAAACAACTTATGGACATGTTATAAGTTGTTTCCATTAGCTTTTTCAAACAGTCTCAGAATTGCTTATGTTAGCAGTTAAATTCAAATGAGTCAAAATGTACTTACTAGCAGAGTACTATTATTCTGTGGGGTGTCAGGGGTCTGTGCTTTGACCAGTTTTTAATTTCCTATTTTCTTTTGAAGTGAGGTATTAGTCTGAAAGTGTGTAAATTGATTAAGTTTTTTACCTGATTTGTTAGCAAATGAATGTTTAATTAGTTCTGTCAATCATGGTTGTAGTGTAATTAAACTTTTGTTTGATACAATCAATCAGCAAACCTTTCATTCTGAAATGTGTAACTATATGATGGTCTATACAAGGAATGTTAATCAATGAAACAAAAGCAATGTAGTAAATGTAAAAACATTAATGCAAACTCTTTCTGTTTTATAGGTAATGGTTATGACACCCCAGACTCTTTTGGATGCCTTAAGAAAAGCATTCCTGAGTATAGAAACGATATGCTTGATGGTTATTGATGAGTGTCATCAAGCATCAGGCAACCATCCCTATGCAAAGATAATGGTGGTGAGAGCTAGAAAACACTTTTTTTCCTTGTATTTTCATTGATCATACATTATCTTTTGTCTTTCATTAAACTTTTTATATTAGGGTCTGTCTGTTTGTTTGTTTTTTTGGGAGGGGAGCAAAATCCATTGCTATCCAAACAGACCCTTGGAAAATAAATTTTCATATGACTATTGTGTTTTCTACTGTTGAAGGAATTTTATCATCAAGCTAATGTAAAGCCAAAGATTTTTGGGATGACAGCATCACCAATTGGTAAAAGAGGTAATTGTTTATGTGCTAACTTTGACAAACAACCACAAGCTTTGTTTCTTTACATATTGAAGCTTTCCGGCTAGTGTATTTTTCGAATAAGTTTGAATCGCACTATTTATCCCATTGGGCCCTATGTTCTAGAGAAGCTCTTTTCTTCTATTTTTTAATCTCTTACTCGAAGGATTAAAACTATGTACTTTTCATAATTCTAATGTCACTCAGAGTCTCAGAGTCTAGATTGTACCAGGAAAAACTTGATCAGTGGCTCTGTAGACAGCAAGAGGGTGGATCAAGACTTGCAAATGTGAATCCAGCTGCTGAAGCAAATGTAAGTATTACCATTTTGTATTCAAAACCGTTCACTGCTCGATCTATCTAAATCTTCAGTTGGATTTAATTCCAGATATTTGGTGATCCAGATGCTGCTGATGTTGTATTCACAAGTGGCGCAGATATATTAGCAGTTGGAATAAATGTTACTCACCAAGTCGTATTGTCAGGTACCCCTTTGCCAAATTCATATGCACTCAGTTTTTTCATGCTTACGTAGGTATTTTGTTAAAATGACTAATCATCTCTTGGCAAATCTTATGTGGTTTAACATCTAGTTCTTTAACTGTTATGATAATTTTCTTTCCTTTTCCTTTCATGATTTATGCATCATGATCCAGCAACCTTTTATATGACTATTTTAAACTTTTATATTAATAAGTTCCCATAAATAATGTTTTCAACTCAACAGATTTCATGGATGTCTCCCTAACCAAACTAGTATTCTCGGGAGACCTTTGATTAATGGATAATATTGTGGTAGATAATAATCTATTTTCCATGGTATCACCGCACTTTTAGTATTTAATGCAGACACATGCCAAAGGTAGGGAAAGATCACCGTGTTTGGATTGAGAGAGACCGAGTTCAAAAGTTTCAACTAACTTAAATAATTTCCCCCCATGATAATTGTCAATGACTAACTCTCAAAAGTTTCAGTTGTTAAGTGAAGTTCGTGACTGGTTTTATATCTATAACTAGTTCCTATAATATTTTGAAACCCATGAAACTTTTTATTACCTTTGTGTCTCTATTGGCAGTATTTTAGCATGAAACTTGACATCGGTTGACTGCTATGAGCATGCTTCTATTTTAATTATGGTTCATGTCACTTGTCATGTTAACATTTGTTTTGGTTTACCCTCATCCGAAAAAACAAAATGACTAGGTTCTGATCGAGAAAAGTTAGCAAGTTCAAAAGGAAAATTTGCTCAATACCTTACCGGAATCTTAGAGGTGTATTTCTCTTACCATTGTGACGCATACAACACCAATGGTATGTCTTCATTCTGCATTAAAGAGATAATATAGGCCTAATCATCCGAATTATTAATAGTTCTTTTATACAGGAGTTTACCTTCATAACCCTACAGCGTTGCTTGCAGCTGTTGATCCTTCACTCATAACTTGCACAGAAGGTGCTGTTAGAGTCCAAACCAGTGGCATAACAAGGGGACTTACAATTCTCTACAATAAACAGAAAAGGTAGAAAGCACTAGGAGTTGATAGCCCTGAAATTTATCTATATGAATGTTAATGCCATTTTATAGCAGTTCTGTCTCTCTCCAAATTTCTCAGAATAGTTTGTAAAGATGCTATGGGATTGCATTGACTCTACCAAAGAAATAGGAATTTTTCAGTGACCAACCTAGTTCTTTAGGGGAAGGAAGTAAACTTTTCGTAAATGGTTTAGGCTGTTGTTTGATAGGAGTTTAGATTGCATTAAAATTAAAATGAATTCCCCGGCCTTTTGTTTATATATTCCTTCTATTTGATTAGGAAGAGCAATTTATGTGAAGATTTCCCAGGTATGCCTAGAACATTCTGTTTCAGATAACTGTTACATTCTCAAGTACACTGCATTAGCTCTGGCCTGGCCAAAATCTACCTTGCTGGACCAAACATGATGACAGGGATAACTACAGAGATACTTCGTTGGTGAATAGAGTCTTAGCTGAACAGAGAACATAACCTGGAGTTTGCTAAGCTTGTTCCTTTTTGTATGGGCTAATGGAGGATGCTTTTCAAGGGGTGATTAAGCACCCCATAATACCCAAGTCTATATCTTAACACTTCCCACAAGAGTCGCCATTCTGGAGGCCTACTGTAGGAAACTTCGCTTGACCATTTTCAAATAGCTCATCTGTAGTTGGCCTTTTCTGAGACACCGGCAAACTAAGTCACTCAAATACTCCGCCGAGCAACTTATACTATTCAATGTTAGACTTGGGAACTCCATAATATTCAAGTCTCCGTCACCCTTTTGAGTGCAATTATTAGGGAAAATACTTTGTTATCAAGATTTTCTATCTTGTGATGACTTGTTCATTTTGTTATGAATTTTGGATCCAAATACCCTAGTTAGTTGGTGGGTAAGTTAGATCTAAGATCAAATATCATCTATGTTGTGTAGATGAGTTATTGTCGAATTGGTTGAGTTTTATCTCCCTATTGGAACTTGGTTTAGTTTTTGGCTCTAGACATTGGTTTTCGTTTGTAATCTCAGCATGCCTAAACATCCCTGATTTTGAGGTTTGTATGAGAATGTTCTTCTGTACCTACGGGGAAATAATAGACAATATGATTAAAAATTATAATTAAAGATAGAATCAGGGTAACACCTTATTGTAGAAAATTTGGCTCTATCTCGACTTAGGTGGCTTAGACATGTGTGGAAAAGATATGTAGATGAATGCTATAAGTGTAGATCAGATGAAGGGTAGTCCAACCGTTAGAGTCATAGGAATACCTAGAAACACTGTACAAGGAACTAGTAAGGAAACTTTGGGGTCAATGGTTAGGATAGAGATATGATTTATGGTAGATATTATTGGTACATCATGACAAATCGCACTCCTCTAAAGTTAGCAATTTACTTTAGAGTGTAACGTGAGTAATATCAACCATTAACTAACGAATCATAGGTAGATATTATAGGTGCATCATAACAAATCATGAGTTTGTTAACAACCCTTGCTTTTCTCACTTTACACTTAAGTCAATATAGAGGATCCAAATTCTGACTTATGATAGAACACTATGGTGTCGTTTGATCCTCGCAGGCGACCCAACCTAATATTATAAGGCTTGGTTGTTGTAATATTGAAACAAAACCTCTGAAGAACTAATGTGTTGACATGCATAGCTTGGAGAACCAATTAAATGGTTTACTCTTTTTTTAACCGGGTTTCAACACTGTAAGAGTCCAATATAATGGATGATTTAGCAAGGGGGAGTTGAACAAAAACTTCTTTGTAATAATATCTTGTCTTCATCTTGTATTGCAAGTACGATTAACTTTGTCTTTAGGTTACCTTTACTATATGTTACCTCACTTTTCTGTCTTTTTTTTCTTTTTGCAATAAACCAGGTTTGAAGAAGTCACTAAATGGTCCAATATGCCAACAGTAAAAGTAGCTGTGACAGTTGATGCTCCTAGAGTTGTGAAATTGGTCATGGATCGTCTTGTGGCTTGAAGTAGCTATGAAGCCGTCCAAGTAACATTATTGATTACTGTCCATCTACTTAAATCGGGTTTCAA